ATGCCGTAGTCGATAAACCATTGACCTCGCATCCCTACAACGCCGGGACGGAGCACGCCGGGTTCTCACCGAACCAGACTCTCACATCACCAAGCGCGAAGCGCCTGGCGGTATTCGGTGAGGGGGGGGGGGGGGGCGTGCTCTTATGTGTTGCGTGCCTCAGCGGATAACCATTGACCACGCGTCCTCGAAGGACGGGGCATTGTTCCTACAGGACCGATCACCGATGGTCAATTGTTCCTTCCTTCTTCGCCAAGGGCGGGTTGCCATTCCGCCGCTGAAAACGTTCCTTGCGGACGAAAAAAACAGAGAGCGCTGCTGCGGCACAAACGTGGCGTAAACACTTTCGTGCCGTCTCTCACCTTTCTTGAAGTTTGCAGCGCTGCCGGCGTCGCTTCTGGTCGTGCCGAGGCAGTAAAAAACAACCTGCAACACAACACACACACGCGCGCGGGGTCCCAGAACATGACGTTTAGAAGCATCCTATATTTTCGGCCGCACCGAGACTGAAGCTGACTACAGAGTACCGGGGTAGATGTTAGAAATAAAGGCACACACGCAATCACGGTTACGTGGTCTTTGCCTCGTCAAAAATGAATGACCACGCCTTTGTCATTGGCCACGCGGTTCGGCCGGTCGATGACGGTGCCCCGCAGCCACGGCACCCCCGTGTAGGATCCCGTACTTCCACAGCGATGTTGCGGGGGGATCGGCAAAATGCACCAGAACCACCAATCAACGCCATCCGTGACGTGGTCCAGGAGACACCGAAAATTTTTTAGAGAAGCATGTTATTTCCATTCCAGCCATATTCCAGCCGAGAAAAACACCACGCTGCAAAATAAAGGTATTGAGAGCGTCTGTCTCCTGCACGGAAGTCAAAAGTGCCGGTCGCCTTCCCGGTGGCCAAGCGTTTCCAGACGAGGAAAACAATGAAGATCGACAAGGATTTGAAGTGAAGACGAGAAGAAAAATAAATAAAAAGGGAAGGGCTGTCTTGCCCTACTGCTGTTTCTCTCTTCATCACAATCACGTCAAGACAACATACCCCGACTTCGCGGGTAAACCATTCGCGCCAACAGATAACGGGTCGCTGCTTCAGACCAAGTTGGCACGGACGGTGCACAACAAAAAAAAAAACGCATCAACACGTATCCCTCAATGCACACGTGCAAGACGCACAAGATAAACAGAGACATGGGCCCACATTCTGCTGAACGGAGACTTCCCAAGCTGTTTTACAGAACACAAACGTCGCAGAACAAGCTGGGCACAGGTAGGGAGGCGTGTGGAGAAAATAAGACGCGCTGCTGGCCAAGATGGCAAGACGAGTCTTCCGTGGGTCGACAAGCGGAACGGCGGGGTCTTGTTTCTGTACCGTCGTACCTGCTTCCCGCGCATCTCTTGTTCCGGGAGAGAAGTCTCGAGAGTGTCGTAGTTGATGCGTTTTACCTGGGGCGGATGAGTGCATGGGATGTGAACGAAAAGTCCCGTTTGTTGATTTATTTTTGTCTGCAGAAAAAAGAAATATTGTGGCAGCACTCTCAACGAACGCGGTGAAACTACATGTTTATGTGTGTGTTTCTAGTGTTAACTTGCAAATGTGTTTTTTTCGGGGGGGGGGGGGGGGGGATGAGGAACAAGGAAAAAATCCTTGAAAAAAAGGAAAACCAACCCCTTAGGAAAAATCCCCCGGAAAAAAAAAATGGGGGCCTCTTCCACCCCTTTTAGGAAAAAAGTCCCCCCAAAGGAAACCCCCCATAAAAAAAAACCCAACCCCCTCGGGGGGGAGGGCCAAAAAAAAAAGGCCCCCAAAAAAATAAAAATTCCCGGGGGAATTTTTCCCGGACCCTTACCCCTGCAAAAGGAAAAAAAATTTTTCAAAAAAAAACTTGCTTGAAAAAAAAAAACAAAAAATCCCTTTCCCCTTTTAAACGTATTGGAAAAAAACATTTTTCCCCCACAAACCCCCAAAAAAAATTTTCAACCAAGGATTGAGGGGAAAAAAAAACCCCCAACCCCCCCCCCAATCCAATCCAAAAAAAAATCCCCCCTCGAATCCCCCCCCGGGGGGACGGCGAAAAAAAAAA